AAAAGTAACAAGTTTTTCATAAAAAATATATTTTCAAGTATGGAAATTACAAATTAAATAAGGTAGTTCCTTGCTCAGACATCACAACATCTGGAGTAGAACTTTTCAATATTTGCTCTTGTTGCAGTCGAACAAGTTTCAGTTGTTCAGGCGTTGTAACTCTGAATTACTTTAGTTTTTTGTTTCTTTGGTTTCAGGTAAATTAACTTTGCTTTTCTTCTTTGGGATTGGCGCCGTTGGGAACACAGGAGCTGGGGGAATAACATCCGAGGATGTAGATTGTAGATGGTGTAGAGCTTAAGGAACTTGTTAGTTTTTGTCTATCAGATGTTGTTCCTATGCTTAAAGCATCTAAAACAAAACAATATATAAATTTGCGAGTTAAAAGTTATATTATATTTTGGCTTACTATAGGTGTTGTTTTGAAAATAGGATTATGAACAACATCCAGTATTTCCAGGAGCATTTTTTCCCATGACTTCATAATTATTATTGGTTTGTTTCCCGTTTCATTAATATCAATTTTTTTTTCATACTTCGTTTTTCATATTACTAATTTTTTTGACTAGTTGTTTTGGAGTTATGTTATTCTTAAAAATTTTGTTATATTCGTCACATATAATTCCTTTAGAGCTTCTTCTTTCTTTTTTTTAATTTTCGGTGTTTGGGACACCGGGATTTATTCAAAATTATTTTTTTTTATCCAAATTAGATAATATGTATAATGTAAATTTTGAAAATACAGGATAAAATATATTTATAAAAATTTATAGGTTATGTCAAAAATAAAAAACTGTCAATTAATTAGGTCGCCAAAAAATGACTATTTCGAAATCAGAAGTTAGAAAAAGACAGAAATATATTCATTTGCTAAAAGTGAGATAAATAAAATTTCTTTAAATGAAAACACAAATATAACTGTCTTAATGTAAAATAATTAAAAATCATATGTTGAAAAATAAATCCAACGGGCACTAGATCGCTGCAGTGGTAAGATATTTGCACTTTACAGACATGATGGATAGATGGCAGCACTTGTATTATTTGAATTTTGTGGATATTTTTAGAATATTACAAATTATTCTGAATACTGAAATGGAAAAAATACAACTTTATAATGAAGATAAAAAGAGATTAGGCATTCCAGGTCACGTGACTTTGACAGGTCCGCTGGGTGGCAAACAAAGCCTAGATCAGTATTTACACCGTTCTTTCAGATTGTGTTTCCGAATTTTTGCGTTCTTAAATTCTTTCAATAAGTTTTAAGTTGTTTTTGTGGTAGAATGGCTAACATTGACTATTATTCATCGTTAGCTAGTGATGTGAAATGTCGGTATGACCAAAAAATACAAATAATTGCCAATATAGATCCTTATAAACTTCTACCTAATGAGTTTGCTTTAAGTATCAATGAGTTGCCAGAGGTTTCAATTTTGGATTTATCCGAATATTTGACCCACACCCACAGTTACTACAGAGGCTTGCAGTTGAAGGCGTATAAAGGGTTATTCAAGTTCTGCTGGACTACCTAAAAGGTATTAAAAGTAAATATTATTTGTAGAAACAAACCAATTTTTCGATATAAATGTGTTTTTGTATTTTAACAACAAGACAGTCATAATACTTACCATTAACAAAATGTTTTGAACAAATACGAGCATTTTTCAGAAACGTTTCAGTTAAATCTCTCCTTTTGAGGCATTTAATCCACAGATTTCGTCGTTCCTTTTTTAGCTCGTTTAACGATTCCCTAGATCTCTTAATGCTGCTGGGATCCTGAAAAACCTTTCTTTATCTCTTTCCGCTCTACTGCTAGAGCACCTAACAACGCAGCAAAAAGAAGGCATCTTCACAAAATAGATTGAAAATTCTTGGTTTAACATTGAATCAGGTTATGTTTGGCTTTTGTGTGCCCCCCAAACTAATATGGCGGATCGGTTATGACATTAACCTGGAATGCCTAATAGAAAAAGGCGTACCAGTTTAATAAAGGTATTCATAATTATTATAGTATAATCCCTGCTAGTTTGGTGAAAGCATTTTGTTAGGAAAACCTTAAAAATAAATTTCAATGTATTTTTAAATGATCCGCTTCAAATATGGACTAAAACTCGACTTTTTGAAAACATTTATATTTGCAAAATACATTTTTTTCAAACTTCGACATACTGTATCTTGAAAACTAAGCATTTGCGGACCTAGATATGTTTATATTAACTTTTATTTTTATTATTAATGAGTAAGTACTATATTTATCCTAGAAGTTTGAACCCACTATTCGGAAACACCTGGTCCTGGTATTTGTAATCTTTAAGTAAAAAAAAAATAGTTTGTAATAATTATCATTATAGTGTAGTTAAATAATGATTGGCCAAGTGTACAATAAAGGTGTTCATAATTATTATAGTATAATCCCTGATAGTTTGGTGAAAGCATTTTGTTAGGAAAACCTTACAAATGAATTTCAATGTATTTTTAAATGATCTGCTTAAAATTTGGTTAAAACTCTTTGAAAACATTTATATTTGCAAAATACATAACATTAAAAAGTGCTGAATAATAAAATACAGGGTGACACAAGAAATAGAGCACAACCTGCTATAGCTTTTTTAATATAAAACTTGAAAATTTGAAATTTATAGAACTTAACTTAAATGATGCAACAAGAAGAGAATTTAAACAGTATCAAATTCACTCTGCCTCTTCATTAGGCAATTTTTACACAGCAATAACGCAGCGCTCTTGCAGACGTCGTACATATTTGTTTCGCAATAACTGTGCAGCCAATATACCGTTTAGGTATATTTACCTGTGGCACTCTAAATTTAATGGACATAATTTATTTTATATCCTACTGAACTATTAAAACCATATAATACCTTGGTTACGATAATCATAAACAGGGTCTTAACTCCCAAGGGAGTTAAGGATTTTCATAACTTCCAAGGGAGTTAAGGAAGGGAGTTAAGGATTTCCATAACTCCCGCTTTTACCTTGAATAGGTAACACTTTGACAAAAAATAGAAATTTTGATTTATGGCTTATTCCTTTATAAAAATAGACAGAATACAGTAAATTCAGTAGGATATAAAATTATCTATGTACCACGGGAATTATCAGGAGTTAATACCTGCATAATTCCCTTGATACATAAATAACTATTATATAGACAGGATATTTTTGAAAAATGACAAAACAAATTAAAGTAGGTATATAGAATATATTGATGAGTGGGACATTAAACAATAATATTCCTTATTCGTTAACCATATTTTGGTGGCTTTTTCAGCTTCTGATTGAGACGCATTTTGACTGGCTCTATTTTTTCTTACATCGACTAAATAAGGACAAAATTGAGTTAAAATTTAAAAACCGTTTTACCTTGCATCAACATACCTAAATTGCTTTATTGATGTTGATATTATAGGTATATTCTGAAAATTGTGCTTTTTGAAGGCGCCCTGTCCAGTTCAGCTGAGGAGTTGAATTTTTAGATAATAATCTGGCTAATATGTTCCTACATACTTCTTCAGTGTTTCTGCCCCCTAGTATTCCAAGACTATTTACCTGAAAGATTATTTCTCTTTTGTAAATCCATTTTTTAAATCCCAAAAATAGAAAACGGAAAACGGGGGCAAATAGAAAAACGATAGAAAACTTAGGTTATGATGCCTTTGTTTTTGTTTATTTGTATCAATTTTTCACCTACCTTGTTTCCTCTTGTTGAAAATAATGTACACGTAGTAATACAAATCATAGGTAAAACACACGTGAAAAACACCACAAAAATTATAAATCAAAAACGCTGCCCTGCATCAGTGAAACAATACAATACAATAAAATAAAACAAAATGGCTACGCTCACAACTCTACGGCAAAAAATACTGTGCTCGCGCAAATTGGCACATTTCTTTACAGTAACTGCACTAACATTTTACAACAGTTGTTGCATCAATATGCGCATGGGAGATCGAAATAATCTATCGCTTTTCCAATACAAAATCTGCAAAGCCGCTGCATATCAAATACTGCACTTCTAAAATACAGTATTCCCAATACAAGTGCTGCGCAGCATCGATAAAACTATTTATGTGCTGTATTTGGGCTGTGTTCGTGATACAGCAACATTACAGCGCCGATAAGTTGTGTTTGTTGGGTTACGAGGGATATTTACATAGTGTGTGCCAATTGCAATGATTTCCACTGTACCTACTTTTAAGATTTGTATGTTACGACTACCGTGCAAAGCGTTGGAAGGCGCACGTCGGGCAGCCGGGGTCAATCTGAAAGTGACATTTTTCACCTGCCGTGCGCATTTTATAGTGTGCAAACATTGCACACGCTTACCTGCAAGGTGAAACGCCCTACTACAAAACTTGCGAACGGCGTGTGAAAAACGTCACTTTCAGATTGACTTTGGCGTGCGTTCTTTAACGTTTTACAGGGCAGTCGTAGAAAATAGTTATTTTTCCTACGAGCATTCATATCAGTAGGTAACAGGAAAAATTAAAAAAAAAAAAATAATTTAGATATTTGATTATTTTCAATTAAACTTGAAGAGAAACCTATTCATCAAAAACCTCGTCAAAAAATTACATAACAAAAAAAAAAATAATTACAGAAAATTAAATTATTTGAGCTGTTCCGTTTACATTTGGAGTGAAGAGATAGAATTTCGTAGATTTCTGTATGTATAAATGGGGAACAAATCTGACATTATGTGTCAAAGTTAATAATATTCGATGTTTGTATTTGACGTTGGCTGATAAACAGAGAAAAAATCTGTCATCATGTGTCAAAGTCTTGTTGATGCTTGACAATTAGTTTAACTTTTGGGCACTCAGTGCGCATAAGGCCCATATGCGCACGGAGTGCGTGAAAGCGTAACTTTGGCACGGAATCGCGTGCGCAAAAGTACTACTTTGCGCACGCTCGCAGGAAAAAATCTTTTCAAGCAAATTTTATTGAAAAAATTATCTACACTAAGTATAGGACAATTTCAAAATTTTAGACACTCAATTCAATAGATGATTTATTGAAAAATTCTTACTGGGCAAGGAAACAGCCTAGTTTTGTTAAAATACAATAATCTTGTAGAAAGGAAACCATCCAAGATAGTCGCGTTTCAGTTGTATTTAATTCTAGCTCATGCTTCAAAAAAGTAACGTTGTTATTTCTTAAAAAGAAAAATCGAAAACTTCAAATTTTTGTTTTTTTATAAGCTTCAAGAAAAAGTTATTCAGAGCTGTTTCGGTAAAATGTAGCGTTTCATAATGATCTTTTTCTCTAATGATGAAAAATAATCAAATAACTTCTTTTTTCTGTTGAAGAACGATCAGCTGCTTACGCTTACCATGTTTCCATGAGCTCGAAGACCGGTGTGTGTAACACTTCGGCGTTTAAGACTCCAAAAAAGAAGATTATTCGAAATTCACAGCCTTCTTCTGAAGCTGTAGTAGTGGGACGAAGAAGTAATTTGGGCGAGGCGTTAAAGGCGAAGGGAGTAGACCAGAAATTACCTTCAAAATACGATCATGGTAGGACGATTCCACATTTTGAAGTGAGGTTATCTAAATCGAATCCATTTCGATTATTCTACATCGGACCACAACCGAATAGTGTGACATTGCAGGATATTTTGAGCAAAGACCACATATCGGCTTTGCTCATAATAAACTATATTGTCGATGTCAAATGGATCAGGGACCAGTTAAGTTCAGCCTCGCAGCGTACGGACGATATAACTATCGTAGCAAGCGTGCGGGCTGACTTAGATGGTAGTATGCCACATCCACAGGATCCTGAAGGCCTTAAGTTTTTTAATGTGAGGTCAATGCCATATAAATTTGGCACCCATCATGCCAAAATGATAATTATTAAGTACGACCACGGTGGCGTCAGGGTCGTGGTTACCACGGCAAATATGAAGGTCGATGACTGGAATTTGTACGTCAACGGGTTAGAAACTTTCAAGATTTTTTGTTTCTCAATAATGTATTTTAAATATTTGCAGATTATGGGTGTCTCCACTTTTGTCACGATCCGAGGACGGGAGTGGCAATCCCGATTCTGCAACTAATTTTAGGAAAGATTCAGTTCTATTTCTTAGAACGTATGAAATGTTTTCTCACGACCAGCCATTTAGGCTAATTACTCGATGGATGGAGGAAATTAGTATTTTAAATTGCGTAGACGTCAATGTTTATTTTGTCGCTTCTGTACCAGGCAAACACCAAACAGATTTGGAGGATTGGGGACATTGCAAGCTCAGAAAAATTCTAATTTCCCACAACAAGCTTTGCCACACGACAGCATCCCAAAGTCATGTCGTTGCTCAGTGTTCGGCTATTGGGAGCCTTGGCGGACGTGATCCTGGCTGGCTGTCATCTGATTTTTTGAGAAGCACTGGTGCTAGTGGAAGTTTATGCAACTTCCATTTAATATATCCGACAGCCCAGTACGTTCAGAATTTCATTTATTCCGCTGGATCAGGTGCGTCGACTCAAGCTGACAATCAAACATGCCTTTCTTATTCTCGGGCCGTGCATGCTGAGCAGTCTTGGTTGACTAAGTATTTGTGGTAAGTTTATTATCGACGTTTGGAAGGATGATTGATATGCCTTTATCCTACTGTCTTTGTTCGCAGTAAATGGGTGCCTGCAGATAGCATAAAGATGCCCGCCATTCCACATTTGAAAACTTACGCCAGCGTCGATTCCGAGATGAGACGTGCAAATTGGTTTCTGTTGACCAGTGCCAATATGAGCCAAGCAGCTTGGGGAAGCAATTCGTTGGACCAAAGTACCAGTTTTATAAAGAGTTTTGAGGCCGGCGTTTTATTTATCCCAGAATGTTGTGTAAGTACGTTACGATGAAAATAGGAGGTGAACAACATGTTAAGTTATGCAAAGCTACATTGAAAACAGTTGGAATTCTCTGGCACTAGCCAATCAAAACACATAGTTGTGAGTTTTGAATTTATGATGTAGGGAGAAGTTGCTGATATAAAACTTAACATGTTGAGTTGGTCCAAAAGGCACCATGATTTGCTTAATTTGTTTGTTATCTGTTAATAACAAAATTCTATTTTTTTAAATTATAGACGGATAGTGAGAGTTTCTCGTTGGTCGACTCCGAAGATGCCGATCAGCATTTTCTACAGTTACCGTACAAATTGTTGTTGAGGTATCTTCCGAAAGATGAACCATTTCTCACTAATTCTCCACCAGATTTTTATAAGAAATCAAGTTTGGGTTAGTTTGGGTTCTATGTTTTATGTCGTCTGGAAGAAGAGTCCAACAAGCCCTAGTAAAATTTCTTCATTATCTAATTGACTTAACTATTGACTCATTTGTATTTCAGAATTTTCCTCGTTTATTTATAGTTTAAGATTTTACACTATTTACACCATTTGAATGGAAAGCCCATCAAGTCCTGGTAAAATTTTTCCATTATCTAATTGATTTAACAATTAACTCAGTTTTATTTCAGATATTGCGT